AATATGCCCACCGACTGTCTTAAAGGGCCATACACACCCAATAAAAGTCCATAAGTTTTCACAATCTCCCAGGGGCCATAGTCTAAAGGCAGCAGGCGAGCAACCAGGCTTCTCCAGTGCATAGTGGAGAGGTTGGTTCCGCCACAGTTTTTTTGCAAATTCTAAAAGTAATTGGTCAGCATGTGAGTCATGGAAAAAGGAATATCCACTAACTCAAAGGGATATCAAGCTACCCGATGGTGTCACGGTATATTCAGGTAACTACACTTGCTATGCTATGCAGAGTGATTCAGGTATATTTATGGGGAAATTCCCTCCTGGGTATTGTGCTATCTACAGAGAACACCCGTTGCCATGCTAGTAAACCAAGCTAGATCTCTGGGAGACATTTATTGGCTGTGTGGTGACTTGCAACATTGATCCAGACTGGAAGGCCTATGGTGGGGAGAATGTGCCCTAGCTAAAGTTATTATGCCCATACACATAATATCAGATAATCACCAAGGACCTCTTGATACACCCCACACAGTTTCGACCCACACATATACATAGATGCCATAGGAGTGCAGAGGGGGGTGCCAAATGAATTTAAAGCAAGAGATGAAGTTGCGGCAGGATTCGAATCCATGATCCTGCTCATCACTGCTAATAAGAATGTAAATTGGATTTATTATATCTATTATAACCAGCAGCACTTTGTCAATTACACCAGAGATGCACTCCAGGGCCCGGCAGAGCAATTACAGGCTACCTCTGAAATGACCTTTCAGAATAGAATGGCCCTAGACATGATTCTGGCAGAGAAAGGAGGAGTATTTAAAATACCATGACATGCTGTACTTTTATTCCAGACAACACAGGCCCCAATGGGAAAGTAACCATGGCAATAGAGAAGTTGGAAAGTCTCTCAGAAGAGTTAAAGAGGAACTCAGGAGTCACTAACTCATGAAATAGATGGTTTGGATGGTTGAATGGCTGGCAGAAAGTGCTTGTCCAAGTGGGTATGGCTGTCTTGACCGTGATGTTTATTTTTATTATCATTGTCTGCTGCATGTTGCCATGTGTTCAGAAATACCTGCAGAAGACAGTAGATTGACCGGACTACCCCAACCTTCCTTCACCAAGAGATTGATGATTAAGACTGTGATACACTTCATACACCTTTACAGTCCCACCACATTAAATATGCAACTACTTCCCTCTAGGGACATTTAGTGATAGCGTCTGTCTTCACGGGTAAAGTCTGCCGTGAGAAGGGGGTTGGGTGGGGGGTATAGTGGACAAGCCACTGCTCGTCTAATGCGCAGCACCCAGAAGAGTTCGAGATACCTGTGGGACAGATGTGCGGCAGCCTATTAGGAACAATATTAGGGTTAAATATAATAGTTGTTAGTAAATAGTCATTTTAAGGGGGACCGTTATGGACATAATATTAGAATTATTAAAATGCCTATTTACTCTGCATAACTATAATCAGTATTATTCAATGTTTACTCAAAATGGCTACTAGAAGCTCCCCTTCCCATCGACTAACCACCTCATGTAACAAGATGGCGCTGGAATCTGGAGGAGAATCCCATGATGACAGTGACATCACACCCTGTATGTGATAAAACCACTTAACACCTAACCAATTATTGATGTATTTTCTCTTTTATCTATAATTATGCATATGATGTATTCCAGGGCTCGAGTCCTGCAGGAACGCATGGGAACGGCGTTCCTGCACTTTTTCCAAAGCAGGAACGCCGTTCCCGCTAGTGATCCTGTAGGACCGGCCCTGCTACCTGCACTGAGGGGCCATCACACGCTGTGTTCCCCCTCCAGCTCTAACTCTCGCGAGACCCGCGGCTGTTACCATGGCAACGCTCCGCACAGGCGAGTCTCGCGAGAGTTAGAGCTGGAGAGGGAACACAGCGTGTGATGGCCCCTCTGTGCAGCGGCGGCTGGCTCCCTACCACCGGACCACCAGGCGATCTCCCCCCTCCCTGACAAGGTAAGAAGCAGGGAGGGGGGGATAAAAATAAACAAATATAAACACATAAAGTAAAAAAAAAATGCTCCCCCCCCCACACACATCATCCAGCATCATCACACACCCATCATCCAGCACTCACACACCCATCATCCAGCACACACACACCCATCATCCAGCACTCACACACCCATCATCCAGCACACACACACCCATCATCCAGCACTCACACACCCATCATCCAGCACACACACACCCATCATCCAGCACACACACACCCATCATCCAGCACTCACACACCCATCATCCAGCACACACACACCCATCATCCAGCACTCACACACCCATCATCCAGCACACACACACCCATCATCCAGCACACACACACACACACACCTATCATCCAGCACTCACACACCCATCATCCAGTACTCCCACACCCATCATCCAGCACTCACACACACACACCCATCATCCAGCACTCACACACCCATCATCCAGCACACACACACATCATCCAGCACTCACACACACATCATCCAGCACACACACCCATCATCCAGCACACACACACACACACACCTATCATCCAGTACTCACACACCCATCATCCAGTACTCACACACCCATCATCCAGTACTCACACA